TATATGCTTGATAAGTATAACATCATGTTTCTATTCAAGCACTGTTATATAATTGAACTGTATTGTGTTTAAAGTGCTGTGCAGCAAACTTAATTGAATATTATATTTCCAGGCTGTGACCAATAAAATAACTTAAACTTAGCTCCACTGTGTGCGAGCGTTTCAGTCAATTGTATGCAAGTGCTCTGTGTTATATGATCATAACATCATGTTCCTATTCGAGCACTGTTGTTGTTCTACGTTGCTACGCAGCAAACTTATTTTTAATAGACACTTAAATATCACTCTTCTAAAATTTAATGAGAATTTTTCTTCCATGACAGAAGCATTCAGCAAAACATGAAGATGTGTTACAGCTCGACTCGAACCCTCTCCACTGGGACGTGGAACGTGTGACAGAGTTCATTAAGGAGACTGACTGCGCTCCGCTTTCTCGCCTTTTTAAGGATCAGGTAAGACTCTAATATATTTTTCTCTTTGGTTGTTAACAGCTTGGAATCACAGCTGGTAATCATCAAAATTAATCCAAATTAGATTTGAATGTTGGCTGTTAATACATTGCTCAAGGACTTCCACTAAGACTTTTAGTATACGAGACTAAAGCCTGCCGCTCATTGTCGTCGGCTGAACTGATTCTATAAAGCGATGCAACGGATCGTTACTAATGACAATCCGTCCAGGCTGCCACCGATAATCGGTGGATGGTGTCGAGTCATCTACTTCTCGCGGGGAGCAGGGTTTGATTCGTCAGCCGACAGTTGTCCGTTCCGTTGCCAAAAAAGAACGGAGGCAAATCAATTTTATATGAATTAGATGGCATCGACAGCTGAGCTTTGGAATAAAAAAGATCAGTGGTTTAGACAAGTATAATAATTTTTCCATCCTGAGTTGTAAATTGGTGGAAGAGAATAACCATAACTTCTAAAAGTGTATTGTTTTGGTCTTTTGCAGGAAATCGATGGACAAGCTCTACTACTCCTGACACTACCTACGGTTCAGGAATGCATGGAGCTGAAGTTAGGCCCAGCAATTAAACTTTGTCACCATATAGAAAGAGTCAAAATTGCCTTCTATGAGTATTTTGCATGATAGCGACATTGTATTGTAAATTTAATATTTCTGATAGATGTCAATCATTCTTCAGTTGAAAGTGAACGACAACACAAACATTGCTAAAAACACAGGATAAAATATTCCGCTTGCTAGATGAGAACAATTTTTACATGATTTTCAAGGATGAGGTCAAACAGAAGGTCACGGTTAACACAATTAACAGCTTCTGTCAAAATAATATTAGGGGAATGTACTATGGTTAATTGACTCGTTAACTATTAAAGTACCATATATATATACTCGTGTTTAAGACAAGGTTTGATATAGCAGATTATGATTGAAAAACAGGGGATCATCTTTCTACGCGCGACATACAATTTTTAGACTTTTAGGGAGTCTAAAATGAGGGAGTTTTTATTTTTAAATCATACTCATCGTATGTGCAGATTGTCCGAAACAGGCAAATTTACTACTGCAGTGTCTCACTATTGAGAGCCAGAAAAATGAATTCCACAAAAGATATTTGTTGTTTCATTTGTTTTAACTAATGCTTTTAAATACTGATACTATGAAATGCATGAATTTTTTCAAGCCTTGACCTTGCCGATTTGGAGGCTAAGTGCAGGCTTGATCCCAGTATATTGAAAGGAAGAATTCTGACAGTGAAATGTAGGTTCGTCTTATATGCCGACATAAAAAAAATTGTACAAAAATCTTCTCAAACTTGGGGGTTGTCTTATATGCGAGTATATATATGGTATACAGTGTATGAACAGTTGATCAGATTTCATCACTTATTACACAAACAAATATATTGTAGGGTTACAAATAATAGAGTCTGCTATTTGGAGGGAAGAAGGGATCGTACAACAGTATGCTTTTAGAATATTGCATCTGTTGATAGGAGTGGCTGATATGTTATAAGAAATACGAGGCATGTTGTGGCAAAATGGCTAAGTTGTAGCAAAATTTATTAGTATTTTCAGATATCTGAGTATGTAATGAGGGGGTCATTCATTGAACTTAGACATTTCAAGCCTAAGTTGTTGGCAAGTGAAAGTACAGCACTCAAACAAACATGCTTTGTGTAATTGCCTTCCAAAGTTATTTGTGCATACATTGTTTAATAAATTAACTATCAAATAACGTTAAGTAGACAATTTGTTGACCATTTCCAAAACTAATACTTTGGGACATGATTAATAAGACATTAAACTGTTGATCTATATTAAAAAGAAATTTGGATTTTTAGGAAATTTTTTTTAACTCCCATATTTTATAACTCATTTACTCCATACTGGACTGTGCGACAACTTGACCATTTCACCATGACATGCCTTATGTGTGACAACATCCTAGCACAATACTAGACCAGAGAGGACAGTATAGTGATAGAGTAAAACATATTTTGGTGCTTTCCTTTTGATGAATTTACTTTGTTTTTTGTTTTGTACTTTCTATTTATGATTACTGAGCAATAATAAAATTTAAAATTGTAATACAGTAAAAGAAAACTTGAAAATAATATACAGTATGATCAAAATTTCAGTAATCATGATTTTCAGAATGAATTGAAAATAACAATTATTTGTTTGTTATTTGATTTTAAGTTAAAATTTGGGATCAACTGCCCTAAAATTTAATATTAAGATATAGAATTTTGTAATCAAATGCAATATTTCCTTGTATTGTAAAAAAAATAATTCTTGCAGATTACAGATGCCTAAATATTTAATTATCTCGGTGAATTCATCTTAGCTAAAATTTAAGGTAATATTCATCGGTAGTTAAAAACATATTGAATTCTCTAAACTTCATACACCCATATTACACAATGATTGTATCCTTTAGTCCTAGATGTATCATTATATGTAAGGTGCGCTGTACCATTTGTCTGGCCAGAGTTGGGGATGTGAGATACATATTTATAATTATTGCCTGATGTGAAATAGGATGCAACTGTTGATACAAAATCCTGTAGAGAAGAATACATTTTTGTTCATTTTTTTTTTAACATTGATGTTTGTTATTGTTAATAAAAAACTATTTTGAATTAAAGTTGTCTTGTTTTTAATGCTACGTTTTATACAATAGAGTACGCAAGGTTCCTTCCAACAACCTAATTCCATACAGTACAAATTTGCCAATAGAGGCATAAACAACACAGTGATCACTGATACCTGAATGTAAAATTCCTGCTTTGCATATTTTATCTGGGATTGATACATAAATGTGATCAATAAGTGTCTGACTATTTTTAGTAATTCTTGTTGGTTCAGTTATTAGTTGCTCCAGGTGAAAATTTGTAGTTATTTCTTTTAGTTTTAATGTATAACAAGTAGGGTTAGAAGATAATAAGTCGCAGTTTAGATCACCGATAACCATGACCTCCTTATTAGTACACTCAATACTTTCTAAAACTAGTTCAAATTTTTCCAAAAGATTCATTTGTGAGCCAGGGGGTCGATACCAAGATAATATAAGGATTGGTTTACAATTAGGTCTCATAATTTCTAATACAATCATTTCTAAATCATATAATAAAACATCTTTCCTAATGGTATAAGAAAAATTTGAATTACGATTAACATAGATGGCAATACACATTGAGGCCCTTCTTTTAGGTAAAACGATTTATCTTAAATGTTCTTTCTATTTGGGTTGGGACTATTATGTGTTCAATTAACTTAGAAGGCAAAGGAGGACAAGCACAAGTCCTCATTATCAAAAATGCACGTGAAGCGCGCAATTTTTTACTTTTTATTTATTTTTTTTTGAGTTTAGGGCTTAAGCTATACACGTTTTTTGGAAACTGAATATAAGCAACTTCATTATGGCTTTACTTATTACAAACATATTCTTTCGCCATCATTACACATTGAGGCCATTCTTTCAGGTAAAACGACCTATCTTAAATTTTCTTTCTTGAGTTTGGGACTATTATGACGTGTTTAAATAACTTCGAGTTCTAACCCTAAAAGACCGTAATAATTTTTTGTGTTTTTTAATTCTAATTTCGTAAATGACCTAATTTTTGTATTTTAAATGAAATATTATATACCCACTATCGTCTTCTATCGGCGGAAAATCTGGTCGAATTTTGGTCATCGAAAAAAAGTTTGGCCGAATTTGGCGGTGAAGTCTGTCGACTATCTGGCAACCCCGACTTGTGTCAAAGCGCGTGTCAATAATGTAACGACCACCATGTGCGGTATTTTTGTATTGTGGATTAATAATAATATACAACATTTGAAGACTTTGATAACTTGTTTTGATCAGTAGAGGAAATTAATTCAAGAGCGGTTTTAATGTAAGTAGAGGACAGTTGTATTATGGTTTTTAAAAGGCAATATAAGTGAAACCAGGCGAATGAATCCTCGTTGGTTGTCGAGCATGTGGAAATCTCGCACCATCTTGTCTACGGATAGTGGACGACCTGGCCAATGGGTGGTAAATGCTGCCAGGATCTGGCAGACGACTAGGCCTATGCCTAGACAGGTGGCTGGGGATTATGACCGGTTGAGCCGCCGACAAGTTGAGCCGCCGGTCATTTCTATGGAACGCCGAGCGCGTCTCTCAGTGAATGTAGTGCGTTAATTGCGGCGTATTTCAATTAATTTATTCGTTCTTGTTACTGTTGTTTGGGATTTATTTCAGTTTATTTACTCAGTTATTTCAATTTATTTAATACTCGGTTTTTGCACTGATTTATTAAATATTTATTGTTTATAGTCATCTGTCTAATTCAGTTGGTTTGCCAGATAGTAAAAAAAAAAACTCCATACATTCTTATCATTTATTATATATAATGATATATAATAAATATAATTTAATTAAATAATTTAACAAAATAGTACAAATAACGAATAAGTTAATTGAAAAATGCCGCAAACCAAACGTAAAAAATAATCAAGTCAAATATTATATTTAAATGTGTTAGGCCTATGTTATTATACAGTATTTACTATGGTTTTGTAATTTATATACTTTTTATTTTTGTACTATTTGTTAAAATTATACATAATAAATAATTTAATTAAATAATTTAACAAAATAGTACAAATAACGAATAAGTTAATTGATATACGCCGCAAACCAAACGTAAATAAACACATTTTAAATACGGTTTTGCAAGTATACAACTTCATTTATTTTTATAAAAATGTAGTACATAAAATTACATTTTTAATACGATTTTGCAATTATACAACTTCATATATTTTTATAAAAATGTAGTAAATAAAAATATCAAAATTCTAATTTTCAATTATACATCACGAACGGCAATACGAGCAGATCAACGACTGACAAGACTGGGATGAATATGTAGCTGGTATCTGGGGGTTCGTTCACTGATGACATCGGCAAGCCGACTACATTCACTGAGAGACGCACTTGGCGTTCCATAGAAATTACCGGCGGCTCAACTTGTCGGCGGCTCAACCGGTCATATCCCGTGGCTGGCTAGTGAATCTAGCATTTGCTCCTGGGAGTGGGACACCCAGGTCTCTGGGGCGAAAACTAAAGAAATTTGGTGATTTTGATTTTGTTTGAATTTTAATTAGATACTATAGTTATCTGTGTGGGCATCCATCAAGCGAAACTTTTTTTTTATCCTAGCTAGGCCTAGGCCCTAGGCCTAGGTAGCTAGAAACAAAACAAATTGAAATGTCCCAAATTTTTTTAAATTTATTTTTAATAGAAAGACATAACTGAATGAAGTAAATCGGACCAATATTAGTGGAGATATTGCTATTTTAAATATTTTTAATTCCTATTGTTTTTATTATACAACAAGAAGTGTGTCCCTTACAGTATAATTATGTAGCATTTTAGGCCATGTTAAAATAATACTTGTCAATTACTAATGATTATAATTTAGTATTTTAGTATATATATTTATATTAGATTTAATAAATTTTATATAACTTATAGATTCTACGTATAATAAATTATATTGAATCACATAACTCTAGGCCTAATTGCAGGCCTCAGACAACACGGTGGCCAGCGGGGAAAACATTGTTTACCCTGTGTCTAGCCGCCGCAAATGGCGGCTACACACAGGGCAAGGGCGCCCTCTATTCGTACGAGCCGAGCCTAGCTGTGGTGCCGTGATAAGACAATAGAATTTTATGCCATCTATTTAGAATAATATGCACATAAATATTATTTAAAACTTACTTTAGTTTAAAAACTGAAGAAAACAACATGTTAACCAAAAAACTCTAGCTAGCGAAGGTTTCCTTTTATTTTTGAAAATCGACGAAACATTGGTTGTACTAAAAAAACTTCTACTAAATCGATTCGCGCTTAAAAAGCCAATAACTTGATTCAGAAATCATTTCTGGAGCGTTATCTGGAAGTAATTCAGTCAAATTGTTGTATACTTCTGCGAAATACCCAATTAATACATTGGATATCCTATCTCCATCGGGGTACTATTTTCTATCGCGATGTTTGTATTGCCGATCTATAGCACCTGCTAGCGGTTTTGTATCAGAAATCAGTCCTTGTTTGATAATGGTTATATATACAGTAGGCCTAGCTAAATGAAACTCTTTACTATAAAGTGGAACTATACACCTATTTAACGATGACAGTAAAGTCGAACAATATTGTACTTTTTGATGTTCTAATTTCCCAGTACTGTACATCGTTCTCCTTCCACCACTCATTGCGTGTGATATGCAATGCCTAATGCCAGTCTTCAAAAAATGACGTCACACACATTCTGGCACTTCATTGTTTGATGGTGACGTAATGCCATTTACCGTACTGTACCTTTAGCAAAACAAATTAGAAATACGGTACCGTATCTCAAGCCACAGCGTAAATTTTAAAAAAATTTTTTCCTCCGTCTGGACGTTTTTGGTGAAACTATTTGCTAAATAAGAAAACAAAATTTTATTTTAAATTTTATTCTGTCCTCCTCTGATAATCTTAAAAAAAATAAGTATGTGTCTCGCCTCAGGGAGGAGTCGGCCCTAGGCCTACTGTAGGCCTAGAGGCTTACGGCTACAGATTTTGATTTTTTTTGTGAATTGTAATTAATTACCTAGGCCTATTTTTTTAGTATTTGATGGGAATTAGGGAGGCATCCCAACTCCAAACATAAGTTGGAAGAAACCACTTTACTTTTTGAGATTCCTGTTTATTAAAATGAGCTTTCGTAACACTCTGCCCGCCAAACATGGAGATCTCCATGTTTGGTAATATGTCAAACACGGAGATCTCCGTGTTTCAGCTTTTTTTTAAAAGGAATCCGATAGATGGGTTAATTACCGATATGTACTAACAATTTGAACACTGTCAGCCCTCTCACCAGAATTTTTTAAAGAGTGGCAGAATTTCAGAAAATGTCTAAAAATTGTAAAGGTCCCACCATGCTTGAGCTGGCAAGACCCCTGACTATATTCAGTCTGAAACGTTAGTATTTCACTATTTTTTTGTTTACATTAATGTGGAGCGATATTGATTTACTTTCACGAAATTGTGGCAACGACAAGCCAAACCAGTCACTTGTCGCAAAAATTGATTTTGAGTTATTAATACAGGGTTAAAGGGTAAAATAAGAGCTATAAAATGGTAAAAAAAATCATTCAAATCCGACATTTCCTTATGAAGTTACAAGCATTTTAAAAGCATAGAGCTGATTAAAGAACAAATATGAGAAACTTAATCAGCCTTCAAAGTTTATGATTTCAGGCATTTCTCACGCAGAAACTATTATAAAATCATTAAAAAGTGTTGTTTTAACATTGAAATTGGAAAAAATAACAGCACAGCATGATGTATAGATACAGTACTGTACATGAACCTTAGTTTAGTGAAATAAAATAGATTTGCATGTTTTTTCTATTTTCTCTGAAACACAATTTGCGACGAGTGACTGGTTTGGCTTGTCTTTGCCACAATTGCAATTATCGCAGCCTCGTGCGAAATTGCGTAAATCTCCAAAAGTGAGTCATTTTCATTTTACTGTTACAGGTCACAGATTGTGATTAGAATAAAGTGTTTGGTACCATTGTAAAGCTAAAATGTTTGTTGTTCATGTA